TGGAATGACCGTTATAGTGATGTAAATGCCTTTATGGTGCCGTTAAGTTGTTGTAGTAAATACGAGGCCTAGTTAGTAACGAAGCCTGTGACTTTCCTTATTGTGGATGTTACTTGTGAATTAGTACGTCGAGTCAGACTTGTGCCTATGTTGCGATTATGAGAGTAAAGATGACGAAGTATCTCATCCACAGTTTAGTGTTATGTGTAATGCTGTACATTTGGGGTGCAGTGGGATGAATACACGATGTGCCGGTATGCAACGCACCTGCTTGTGCTTTTGTCTAGTTGTTCAGTGGTAATGTGAGGGCCTGGTCCGTCCAGGATCTATTGTTATCTAAGACAATGATCTAATGCTGTGGTGTTCATTGTGTTGGTGTTTCCGGATTATAACAGATGCTGTATCTGTGTTTTCTCACCAGTTTTACCTTGTTACAATCAATAAATGACGATTGGAGTTGGACGTTCATCCTGGCTCCGAGGGTTTATTGAACGCAAGGTTATCTACTCGACTAGCGGTGCAACGCAGCGCACAGCGAGGCCGAGATAGTAAAAAGACAATCTTCTCGAAGCTCCCAACCGGTGCTGCAGCCAGCCCTGCAGCAAGTAAAAAGACAGTCTTCTTGAAGCTCTCAAGCAGTCAGCCTGCAGCAAGCAAGGAGCTCTCAAGCAGTCAGCCTGCAGCAAGCAACCAGCTCTCAAGCAGTTAGCCTGCAGCAAGCAAGGAGCTCTCAAGCAGTCAGCCTGCAGCAAGAAAAGAGCTCTCAAACAGTCAGCCTGCAGCAAGCAAGGAGCTCTCAAGCAGTCAGCCTGCAGCAAGCAAGGAGCTCTGCAACGAGTCTACATTAAAATCGTGCTGCAAGCATCGCAGCATGGAAAGCCACAGTTCAGCAGGGAGAGATACTGAAGAAGGTGATTTAAGCAATCCAGGACCTCCCATCCTGCCTCAAGAGGACCAAGGGAGTTCAAGGCCCCAAAGAGAGGTCAGGTTGACACAACGGGCCTTGGAAAGCTATGAGGATGAGAACAGGACCTTGATGCCAGAATACAACGGGCATGGAACCGGGTTGAAGCAGATTTATCTGAAGCTTCAAACGCCTCAGACACAGTGGCCTCAATTCAGCGGGCCATCCAGCGAGTGAATGTGAGCAGCTCAAGCTACAAGCTCCTGGCAAATAAATACATCTCCCTCCTGATGAAGGTGAAAACAGATGAGGGCATTGAGGGAGTGCGTATGCAAGAACACTTCCTCGAACTGCTCGATGATAATGTGCAGGCAGTGATACAAGATGCAATGGACCGTGTGGAGGGCTTAAGAGAGACACGATCTCAGCACTCTGTCTCATCCAGGTCCACCACAAGATCTAAAGCCTCAGCACACTCAAAGACATCATCTACTAGTATGGCAGCAGCTCAGGCACGCGCCGCAGCAGAAGCAGCAAACGCCCGTATTGCCTATATGGCTGAAGAGGAAGCTATGCTAATTGAAAAGGCCTACATACAAGAAGAAGCAAGCATAGCAACTGCTGCCGCACGGAGGAAAGCAGAGCAGGAAGAAACAAGCATAGCAATTACTGCTGCACGGAAGAAAGCAGAGCTTGAAGAGCAAGAGAGCACATTAGCGGCTGCTGCTGCGCGGAAGAAAGCAGAGCTTGAAGAGCAAGAGAGTACATTAGCGGCTACTGCCGCATGGAGGAAAGCAGAGCTTGAAGAGCAAGAGAGTATATTAGTGGCTACCGCCACACGGAAGAAAATTGAGCTGGATGCTAAGTTAAGCACCCTACAACTCAAAAAGGAAGCAGCTGCTGCAAGGGCCCAGGCAGAGGTGCTCGAGGCAGCAGCCAACCTGGATAAGGAAGAGAATTGGAGTGAGTTTGGCACTCAGATACCTGTTAAGGACCGTGATCAACTCACTAGAAAAAATATTTTGGACTGGTCTGAACAATGCATCAATGCTCCTCCACCAAACGATACTGAACAAAGGGTGGACGTTCAGGCATCGCCATCTCCACACCGAATGAACATGAATGCTGTCTACGGGAATGGTGGAAATGCATATCCTGCCCTGGCAGTTAGTCGCCGACTCAGCGTCGCACACGTGGGGTCAGACGTAGATGCACCAAGTCAGACCCACATTCCAGACAGTCACATAAGGGGATCCAGCCAATGTGATCGAAACCCTTTGGGCCCACAGTCCAACGCCATCGCAAATGACGGCATGCAAGGCAATACAGACAATAATGCCACCTCACAAGCGCCAGTATGGACACACCCTGGATCAGCAGGACTAGGGGACTTTGCTAGGTACCTGGCTCACTGCGAACTAATCAACACAGGACTCGTTAAGTTTGATGACCACTCTGAGAACTATCGAGCCTGGAGATCTACCTTCAGGAATGCAATCCGAAATGCAGATATCTCTGCAAGTGAAGAACTCGACCTGTTGGTGAAATGGTTAGGAAATGAATCTGCAGAGTACGCAAAGATGATCCGGTCAACAAACATTGGCGACCCCACCTCAAGCCTGCATGCGGTGTGGGAGAGGCTCGAGGAGTGCTATGGTAGCCCAGAAACTATTGAGAAGGCTCTCTTCAAGAAGTTGCAGAACTTTCCAAAAATCTCTGGTAGGGACAATAAAAGGTTACGATGGCTTGGAGATATTTTGATGGAGCTTGAATCAGCCCAGGCTGACCCCTACTTACCAGGTCTCATTTTCTTGAATACCTACCATGGCGTGAACCCCATCGTAGAGAAATTGCCATTTGACGTGCAGGAAAAATGGAGAACAGCGGGTTCAAGATACAAGTCAGAGCATCAGCTTGCATTCCCCCCATTCTCTTTTTTCTCAATGTTTATTCGCAACCTGGCTAAGACTAGAAATGACCCGAGTTTCTTGTTTGGCACCACGGAAATTTACAGTCCAGATCTCCCAAAAATGGAAAGAACGATGGCGAAACGAGGAACAGCGAGAGTGCCAATTTTCGTACACAAGACTGAGGTCTCTCCTGCGACATTCGCAAACTCCGTCCAGGCAACCACCACAAAGAAAAAGATAAAGGATCCAGAGAAGCAATGCCCATTGCATGATAAACCTCACTCCCTCCAGAAATGCCGTGAGTTTAGGAGGAAGCCATTGGAAGAGCGGAAGAACATGCTGAAAGAATTTGGAGTGTGCTTCAAATGCTGTGCTTCTACAAACCACCTTGCAAGGAATTGCAAGGCAGATATCAAGTGCGAGGAATGTGGCAGCGACAAACACGCAACTGCTCTGCACACATTTTACTCGAAACCCAGTGGCACTAAGGCTTCCAATCCCGAAGCAGAGCACGGCGGGGAGCAAGGCGAGACCGCCGCACTCACTTAGTCAATCACAACCAAATGCACAGAAGTCTGTGGAGAAGGCTTCAAAGGAAGATCTTGCTCAAAGATATGCCTCATCCGAGTCTATCCCAAAGGACATCCTGAAAGGGCAGTAAGGATGTACACCATAATGGACGACCAGAGCAACAGGTCTTTGGCAAGGTCAGAGTTCTTTGATCAGCTAAGTGTAGGTGGGAATTCCTTTCCATACACGCTCAGAACATGCTCAGGACTGATGGAGACAGCGGGAAGAAGAGCGAGCAGCCTCATGGTGGAAGCCATAGATAGCACCATGAAGCTAGCCCTTCCTACGGTGACAAAGTGCAACGAGATACCGGACGACAGGAGTGAGATTCCCACACCCGAAGTTGCACGTCACCACCCACACCTGAAACCCATAGCAGAGTTCATCCCGCCATTGGATCACGCGGCACAGATTTTACTTCTGCTCGGCAGGGACATGCTAAGAGTCCACAAGGTTCGCGACCAACGCAATGGACCTCACGATGCTCCCTACGCCCAGAGACTCGACCTAGGATGGGTCATCGTAGGTGACGTTTGTCTCGATGGAACACACAAACCAGACCACATTAGCACATTCAGAACGAGTGTGCTCGCGAATGGACGAACGTCGCTCTTCAAACCGTGCCCCAACAACTTCACGCTGAAAGAGAAACTCGGCGAGAGAAGTCAAGGCTGTACCGTGCAGACTTACGAAGAAACCACCATGACTTCGTTTGTACATCCACCGTTTTCGCTGGAGTTTGTTCCTCCACGTTTCTCCAAGCCAGCCCTGACTGACGGGAAGAAGACTAAGACGAGCTACTGCTCGTCGCTCTGCTGGTGTTCGTGGCGGTGGTCGCTGCGGCCGTGGCCTCTCCGTTCCTGTCATCCGAGTGAGAATCCTGGAAGGAGTTCCACGGCAAGGCCCCACAACCAGAACATACCATCCCAAGGCTCGAGCTGTGTGGAGCTGTTCTAGCTACAGAAATGACGGAACTCATCTTAGACGAATTGGACGTCAAACTGGACGTGGTCAAGTTCTACACTGACAGTAAGGTCGTACTAGGCTACATAAACAACCAAACGAGAAGGTTCTACACCTACATCAGCACCTGGGTGGAACGCATCAGGAGATCGACGCAGCCGGAGCAATGGAATTACGTTCCAACTGATCAGAATCCAGCAGATCTCGCAACTATGTCCGTCCCTGCATCTCTGCTGAAGTAAACCATCTGGCTGACGGGTCCAGCGTTCCTCTTACGACGAGACGGTGGCCCATGTACTACCAAGGAGACCTTTGGACTCATAGAGCCCGAGTCAGACAAGGAGATTCGTCTTCAAGTGACAACTTTCGTAACAAATGTGCGACCAAGAAGTCCACTGAGTCCACACCATTTTGAACATTTCTCGAAATGGACGACGCTCGTGCGAGCGATAGCACATTTAACGCATATCGCAGACTGCTTCCATCGCCCGATGAGAGGCACCACTGGTAGCTGCACAGGGCCACGCACTGAAGACGAGCTTTCCAGAGCAAGGAAATCAGTCTTCCGCTGTGTGCAACAGGCAGCTTATGCAAGTGAGATCAAGGCCATCAACAAGGGAGAAGACTTTCCTAGGGTCAGCACCCTCAGGAAGCTAAACCCCAGGGTGGATAAAGACGACTTGCTCAGGATCGGTGGTCGGCTAGGGAATGCAAAATTAGATGAGAATGAACGAAACCCCCTCATAATCCCAAGCCAGAGCCACATCGCAATCTTACTTGTGCGCCACTACCACGAGAAGGTCAAGCACCAAGGTCGGCACTTCACAGAAGGAGCAATCCGATTTGCAGGGCTGTGGATCGTTGGAGCAAAGAGGTGCATTGCCAGCACAATCCACAAGTGTATCCGGTGTCGTAAGCTACGTGGAAAACAGGAAGAACAGAAAATGGCAGACCTCCCAGCCGATCGACTCAGTGTGGAACCTCCCTTCACCTCTGTAGGGATCGACGTGTTCGGACCATGGACAGTCATCTCCCGCCGCACCAGAGGAGGGCTCGCGAACAGCAAACGTTGGGCAGTGCTGTTCACCTGTATGAGTACACGAGCAGTGCACATCGAAGTCATCGAGTCCATGGACTCTTCGAGCTTTATAAATGCACTCCGGAGAATCTTCGCCATCAGAGGGCCAGCCAAGCAACTCCGTTCTGATTGTGGAACCAATTTCATAGGAGCATGTAAAGAGCTTAAGATCAATACGGAGAATATCGAAGATGATTCTGTCAGGAAATACCTTAGTGACCAAGGCTGCACATGGATCTTCAATCCTCCCCACTCTTCGCATATGGGTGGAGCCTGGGAACGCATGATCGGGATTGCTCGACGCATTCTCGACTCCATGCTATGTGATGTCGGGTCCACACGGCTCTCTCACGAGGTCTTGACCACTCTCATGGCCGAGGTCTCAGCCATAATTAACTCAAGACCCCTGATCCCCGTCTCAACTGACCCGGAGTCACCATTCATCTTGACTCCTGCTACACTTCTTACCCAGAAGACAGATGTGCTCACAGCACCTACCGAGGAGGCCAGCACTGCAGACCTCTACAGACGTCAATGGAGACAAGTGCAGAGCTTCGCGAACATGTTCTGGCGTCGCTGGAAAAACGAGTACCTTACAACACTCCAAGTGCGCAACAAGTGGCAGTCTAACAGACCAGACATCCAAGAAGGCGACCTCGTCCTACTGAAGGACAACCAAGCCAAACGGAATGAGTGGCCAATGGGCCGCATCCTCAAGTCGATTCCAAGTGCCGATGGAAAAGTTCGAAAGGTCGAGGTTATGATTGCGAAGCAAGGTGTCGCAAGAACTTTCATCAGGCCCATAGTCGAGATAGTACTACTTCTCTCTCGCAAAGATATGGACAAATAAGTCGACCCATTGAAGTTGTTATACACTTGTTTTTGAGATAGGAAATAAATGGTGGTATCTCCTAGATAGCAGACGGGGAGTGTCTTGCCTCACGGCAGATGTGGAGCGTACGTTCACAGGAAGTTCCTGTTTTTTATGCTAATTTTGGTCACGTGACCAGGAAGTTACGATTTTGTACATTTGGGGTGCAGTGGGATGAATACACGATGTGCCTGTATGCAACGCACCAGCTTGTGCTTTTGTCTAGTTGTTCAGTGGTAATGTGGGGGCCTGGTCCGTCCAGGATCTATTGTTATCTAAGACAATGTTCTGATGCTGTGGTGTTCATTGTGTGGGTGTTTCCGGATTATAACAGATGTTGTATCTGTGTTTTCCCACCAGTTTTACCTTATTACAATCAATAAATGACGATTGGAGTTGGACGTTCATCCTGGCTCCGAGGGTTTATTGAACGCAAGGTTATCTAATCTACTAGCGGTGCAACGCAGCGCACAGCGAGGCCGAGATAGGTTACATATATATAGTATATATTGAGAAGGTTTATAGTTATATAGTATTTTTCCTTTTCGAGGATTTAAAGAATATCGGGCGACAGAATTACATTCACATGAGCACAAGTAAAAAAGTTGCAGCGATTTTAAATCAGCTTCACGTGAGTACCTGGTGCGCTGTGTAAACATCGCCACTGGGGAGACAAAGGTGGCCGTGCGTGGTTTCTGGCCACACACCCCCTCGTGTGCCCTGTTGGCCTTGACAGTCTGTAGAAGGCTGAATGGGGATATGTGTGTGTTTGTGTGTAATACCGAGTTTCCATGGGAATGTGAACTTGAGTTGATCACTCAAGCTGGCTTTCCCATGGAACTTAGCTATATATATGTCTGTGTTTGTTTATGAATGTGTACGCGTGTGTGTTATTGTGTGTGTGTGGGGAGCGTGTGTGTTATTGTGTGTGTGTATGGAGCGTGTGTGTTATTGTGTGTGTGTGGGCAGCGTGTGTGTTATTGTGTGTGTGTGTTATTGTGTGTGTGTTATTGTGTGTGTGTGGGGAGCGTGTGTGTTATTGTGTGTGTGTGGGGAGCATGTGTGTTATTGTTTGTGTGTGGAGAGCGTGTGCGTTATTGTGTATATGTTTGGGGAGCGTGTGTGTTATTGTATGTCACCAGGGATACATTGTACACCATAGTGTCACTAGGGATACATTGTACATCATAGTGTAACTAGAGATACATTGTACATCATAGTGTCACTAGGGATACATTGTACACCATAGTGTCACTAGTGATACATTGTACATCATAGTGTCATAAGGGATACATTGTACACCATAGTGTAACTAGTGATACATTGTACATCATAGTGTCACCAGGGATACATTGTACACCATAGTGTCACTAGAGATACATTGTACATCATAGTGTCACTAGAGATACATTGTACATCATAGTGTCACTAGAGATACATTGTACATCATAGTGTCACTAGGGATATATTGTACATCATAGTGTCACTAGGGATACATTGTACATCATAGTGTCACTAGAGATACATTGTACATCATAGTGTCACTAGAGATACATTGTACATCATAGTGTCACTAGAGATACATTGTACATCATAGTGTCACTAGAGATACATTGTACATCATAGTGTCACCAGGAATACATTGTACATCATAGTGTCACTCGTGATACATTGTACATCATAGTGTCACTAGAGATACATTGTACATCATAGTGTCACTAGAGATACATTGTACATCATAGTGTCACTAGAGATACATTGTACATCATAGTGTCACTAGTGATACATTGTACATCATAGTGTCACTAGAGATGCATTGTACATCATAGTGTCACTAGAGATGCATTGTACATCATAGTGTCACTAGTGATACATTATACATCATAGTGTCACTAGAGATACATTGTACATCATAGTGTCACTAGTGATACATTGTACATCATAGTGTCACTAGGGATACATTGTACACCATAGTGTCACTAGTGACACATTGTACATCATAGTGTCACTAGTGATACATTGTACACCATAGTGTCACTAGAGATACATTGTACATCATAGTGTCACTTGAGATGCATTGTACATCATAGTGTCACTAGAGATACATTGTACATCATAGTGTCACTAGAGATACATTGTACATCATAGTGTCACTAGAGATACATTGTACATCATAGTGTCACTAGAGAAACATTGTACATCATAGTGTCATTAGAGATACATTGTACATCATAGTGTCACTAGAGATACATTGTACTTCATAGTGTCACTAGAGATGCATTGTACATCATAGTGTCACCAGGGATACATTGTACATCATAGTGTTACTAGGGATACATTGTACATCATAGTGTCACTAGAGATACATTGTACATCATTGTGTCACTAGAGATACATTGTACATCATAGTGTCACTAGAGATACATTGTACATCATAGTGTCACTAGAGATATATTGTACATCATAGTGTCACCATGGATACATTGTACATCATAGTGTCACCATGGATACATTGTACATCATAGTGTCACCATGGATACATTGTACATCATAGTGTCACTAGTGATACATTGTACATCATAGTGTCACTAGAGATACATTGTACATCATAGTGTCACTAGGAATACATTGTACATCATAGTGTCACTAGGGATACATTGTACATCATAGTGTCACTAGAGATGCATTGTACATCATAGTGTCACTAGTGATACATTGTACATCACAGTGTCACTAGAGATGCATTGTACATCATAGTGTCACTAGAGATACATTGTACATCATAGTGTCACTAGGGATACATTGTACATCATAGTGTCACTAGAGATACATTGTACATCATAGTGTCACTAGGGATACATTGTACATCATAGTGTCACTAGAGATGCATTGTACATCATAGTGTCACTAGTGATACATTGTACATCATAGTGTCACTAGAGATACATTGTACACCATAGTGTCACTAGAGATACATTGTACATCATAGTGTCACTAGAGATACATTGTACATCATAGTGTCACTAGAGATACATTGCACATCATAGTGTCAATAGAGATACATTGTACATCATAGTGTCACTAGAGATAAATTGTACATCATAGTGTCACTAGTGATACATTGTATGTCATAGTGTCACTAGAGATACATTGTACATCATTGTATCACTAGAGATACATTGTACATCATAGTGTCACTAGAGATACATTGTACATCATAGTGTCACTAGAGATACATTGTACATCATAGTGTCACCATGGATACATTGTACATCATAGTGTCACCATGGATACATTGTACATCATAGTGTCACTAGGGACACATTGTACATCATAGTGTCACTAGAGATACATTGTACATCATAGTGTCAATAGAGATACATTGTACATCATAGTGTCACTAGAGATACATTGTACATCATAGTGTTACTAGGGATACATTGTACATCATAGTGTCACCAAGGATACATTGTACATCATAGTGTCACTAGTGATACATTGTACATCATAGTGTCACTAGAGATACATTGTACATCATAGTGTCACTAGAGATACATTGTACATCATAGTGTCACTAGGGATACATTGTACATCATAGGGTCACTAGAGATGCATTGTACATCATAGTGTCACTAGAGATGCATTGTACATCATAGTGTCACTAGTGATACATTGTAAATCACAGTGTCACTAGAGATGCATTGTACATCATAGTGTCACTAGAGATACATTGTACATCATAGTGTCACTAGGGATACATTGTACATCATAGTGTCACTAGAGATACATTGTACATCATAGTGTCACTAGGGATACATTGTACATCATAGTGTCACTAGAGATGCATTGTACATCATAGTGTCACTAGTGATACATTGTACATCATAGTGTCACTAGAGATACATTGTACATCATAGTGCCACTAGAGATACATTGTACATCATAGTGTCACTAGAGATACATTGTACATCATAGTGTCAATAGAGATACATCGTACATCATAGTGTCACTAGAGATAAATTGTACATCATAGTGTCACTAGTGATACATTGTATGTCATAGTGTCACTAGAGATACATTGTACATCATAGTGTCACCAGGGATACATTGCACATCATAGTGTCACTAGTGATTCATTGTAAACCATAGTGTCACTAGAGATACATTGTACATCATAGTGTCACTAGTGATACATTGTACATCATAGTGTCACTAGTGATACATTGTACATCATAGTGTCACTAGTGATACATTGTACATCATAGTGTCACTAGTGATACATTGTACATCATAGTGTCACTAGGGATACATTGTACACCATAGTGTCACTAGTGATACATTGTACATCATAGTGTCATTAGATATATATTGTACATCATTGTGTCACTAGTGATACATTGTACACCATAGTGTCACTAGAGATACATTGTACATCATAGTGTCATTAGAGATACATTGTACACCATAGTGTCACTAGAGATACATTGTACATCATAGTGTCACTAGAGATACATTGTACACCATAGTGTCACTAGAGATACATTGTACATCATAGTGTCACTAGAGATACATTGTACACCATAGTGTCACTAGTGATACATTGTACATCATAGTGTCACTAGAGATACATTGTACATCATAGTGTCACTAGTGATACATTGTACATCATAGTGTCACTAGAGATACATTGTACATCATAGTGTCATTAGTGATACATTGTACATCATAGTGTCACTAGAGATACATTGTACATCATAGTGTGACTAGTAATATATTGTACATCATAGTGTCACTAGTGATACATTGTACATCATAGTGTGACTAGTAATACATTGTACATCATAGTGTCACTAGAGATACATTATACATCATAGTGTCACTAGTGATACATTGTACATCATAGTGTCACTAGTGATACATTGTACATCATAGTGTCACTAGAGATACATTGTACATCATAGTGTCACTAGAGATACATTGTACATCATAGTGTCACTAGAGATACATTGTACATCATAGTGTCACTAG